AGAGAGGGGGGAAGCTTCATTGCGCAAGCAGAAGCCATTGTGCAGGGCTTGTGCTGATAGAACGCATTAGGTAAATCCTGACCAAGGTAATTTGAACTGAAGCAATAGCAAATGATGTTAGATAATCTCTGGATTTTAGACACTGAAAGTCTTGCCATATAACTTACTCACTCTGCACTGCATAAATCTAGATGGTGGGCATTAGAGAACAAAAAGGTCAGCTGGAGGAATTCAGATACTTTTCTGCAAGCACAAGTTGATGAAACTGATGGGTGTTGGTAGCCTAAAATACCTGGAAGACTTCAGGTTAGGGAAGGCTGGTCCATATCATGTTGTCTGTGGCTGGTCCATGGGCATGGCCCAGCAATATACAAATTGGATCTAATGGCATTTAGACCAGTCATTGATCATTCCATACTGGCATACTTTCAAGCAAACCTAGTCATTTAGTAGAAAGCTCAAAAGTCAAAAGCAACAAGTTCTTTACAAACTTAGAAAAAGAATTCCGTATTTCTCTATTCATTATCCTTGAACTCATCATCCAGTGCTGATGCTTACTGAAGCCAAAACAGTACCATCCTTCTATAACAGGCTTGGGGGGAAATATTGCAGAAGTACCAAGGGTAGGAGGAAACACAGCAGGGGGTGATGCCAATACAACCTAATGAAGACTGAGCATGATCAGGAGCCTTGGAATTTTAAGTGAGTTGGAAAAGAAAACCAGATGTGCAAGGGGAGAACCTGAAGTGGCTGATGAAGGGCTCTGCACGACTGCCGCAATCCAGGAGGATTTAAAGCACCATGGGCTGGCTGGCAAGCAGGAAAGGCACGAAGAAGAGGTAAGTAGTGCAGAGGGGCTAAGAAGATGAACGGAAGATGGACAGTCTTTGTCCTTGACTGTCTCTCCTCTTTCCTCCTCTGAGAAAAACAAGCAAGAGAGGGCCAAGGAACACATAAACAGAAGTGCACAGACACAGCTCATTATCCAGATTATCCTGGTTCACTGTGGAAAGGGAGATAAATGACTTTTTATATACAGTATTTTAATTAACAGTGGTACCTCCAGTTACGAACTTAATTCGTTCCGGAAGTCCATTCTTAACCCGAAACCATTCTTAACCTGAGGCACACTTTCACTAATGGGGCCTCCCGCTGCCGTCGCCACGCAACTTCTGCTTGCATCCCAGGGCAAAGTTTGCTACCAGGAGCATCTGCTTCTGGGTTAGCGGAGCTTGTTACCCAAAGCGTTCGTAAGGAGGACGGTACGTAACCCGAGGTTCCACTGTATTTATTGTTTATTAAATTTGTTCAGCCCTTCATCTGAAGATCACAGGGTGGTTCACAACAGCAATATCCAAAATCTTAATGTTGCTGTGACAGAACATCAGTGTGCACAGCCCCCACAAAACCCAAACACAGCCCAATGAGGATAGACCATGCTGAGGGGGCATAGCATGCTGACAGATTATGGGGGGGGGGAGACACAAAAAACCATGGTGGAGGGATGGAATGAAGTGTATGACATTCTGAACAAAAGTACTCCACACAACAATGTATTTTATTTTTTCCAGCACCATGCATGTCCTCTATCCTAATTCTTATGTAGCAGCAAAGAAAAGCATTTTTGCTCATTATTATATATGAAGTTTCTATGCCAACCTTCATCCAAGGATCCCAGGGCAGTTTATAATATAAATCTTTATAACTTAGTTATTATTTACAGACAGCAAGCATTTTGCACGGGGGGGGGGGGGGGCATTCCCGCCCCCCAGCACCAGCAGGGAGTGCATAAGCCTGCCTCACTCTGTTATATCCCTGTTCTGCCCTCTTCCATGTCCAAAAGAACCTGCGCATTGTGCGTCAATTGGACACACACAAAATGGTCACCGCCTGTATTCCTAGCATTTTTACCTTTCTCTTCAGTCTAAAAGTCTTCCAGAGCAGCTTCCAGATCAACAGAAAACAAGACATTTCATGCCCTCAGACTTACAATCTAAAAGGGAAGGGGAGGGAAGAAGAAAAATAAGCAAACCCAGTCGCCAGCTCTTAAACTTACAAACGCCCATTTCAAAGTAAACACAATTATTTGTCCCCATGTCACATGTTGGAAGTAGCTATGCTGAGAGTAGACTATAGCCTACAATTTAGTCTACCCATTGCCTTTACTGCAGGTGTGACAGATGCAAGTGTGGGTTTCAAACCAAATATCGTTCATCTCTCTCAGGTTGCAGCAACTGTCAACCTACTTATATAGTCATTAATATAGATAGATAGATAGATAGGCATTGATACAAAGTGCAACAAGCGTTTAGAGAATGATTCCTGTCCTTGCAAAGGTATCTCCATTGGTAGCCCATTCTACATTCTCACACTTAATTAATTTGACTATACTGCAGCATACTGAAACGTTAGCTTCCTCTTGGCAATAAAGCCTAAAGCAAACAACTAGAGCAGTTAATCCATGGAAGGCTTGGTGGTAATATTACTCAGCAAGATTGATAAATATGGAAATAGTTAAACTGTTCTAACTTGTTAGACTTTTGCAGAATATTTAACACACTTCTTGGCCTCAGCACACACAAACAGCTAACTTGGCATGCCTGCAGCAGAAAACATCACAAACTGAAAGTCAAAGCTTTCCACAACAATAGAAATGAAGATGACATGTAGACCAAAACTAAAACTCAAGTGAAAGCTTCGCTGACCCCATCCATCCATAAAAATGAACCTTCATTTATTTGGGTCAGCAGCCAGGCTTACACGTTCACCCCTAACTCTGTGATTTTTAAGCTCATTTAATCAAAGTGCATCAGTGCACTACATAGTCACATGAAGAAGATCAACAATTTGTACGGGGATTGGCTGCTACAAGCACAAAACTACTGAAAAGCCAACAGCGAACTACTATTAGCGTGGTCAGGCATGATGTGCTACATTCAAGTGAGTTCAGGTATAAAAAAGAATAACACTCAAAACATAAAGGATTGTTATGCCCCAGATAAGAGGTATAGTTTTCATATTCCTTCCTGAACTCTGAAAACTAAGGAAATCACTGCGTAAAGCAGCAGAGGTAGACAACCTGCGGTCCTCCAGATGCTGCTGTACTACAACTCCCATAATCTCTGGCCATTGGTAATGTTGGCTAGGGTTGATGAGAGTTGGAGTCCAACACCATCTGAAGGGACACAGGCTTCCCAAGCCAGGAGGAAAGGAAAGGACATGCAGAGGCTCTAAATGACTGCATACTGGCGCCAGGCAAAAATGTTTGCCTTCACCCAGGCCTTTGTGAAGGGCTGAGGTAATTTGCCAGCTGTAAAGTAGTTGCTGTCTGCTTCCTGAGTTACTGTATTGCAGTATGAGGTTTAAAATTGCTTTAATTGTCATGTGATTTTACTGTTTTGTTTAACTGATATCATTTGTTTTATTCTGTGGTCTATCCTAGGATCAGTAACGGATGAAGAACAGTACACAAATGGAAATACAGTGGTACCTCAGTTTTCGAATGTCTCCATTGACAAACATTTTGGTTTATGAACACCGTAAACCTGGAAGTAAATGCTTCAGTTTTTGAACATGCCTTGGAAGTTGAACATGCCATGTGGCTTCCGTGTGCAAACAATCTGTGTTCAGCTAATCTCAGGAGCTCTCTTGCAACCAATTTGTTTTTGTGACTGTCTGCGCCTCAGTTTTCGAACATTTTAGAACTCGAACGGTCTTCCGGAATGCATTACGTTTGAAAACTGAGGTACCAGTGTAATAGATCAATATTAATCATCTACAGAAAACTGAGGTTATAGTGCATAAAATGAATTTCAGTGCATTAAGCCTTTGAAGTAAATCTGTACACAACATGGAATGACACTGTAATGGAAACATATAGCAAGGTTACTCATTACTTCAAAATAATTGACTTTTTTCATTTTAGTAGCCATGATTATATCCTAGCTGCAGTTTCCTTAAAAAGAAAAGAAAAAGCTACTTGCAGATTATATGCATGCCAAATCTTCATTCTAGGCTATGTATCAATTGCCAAACTTTTATAGCATGTCTGTTATGCTTTGCCACCTCTTTTAGTGTGATTTATGAATGATTCAACAGTTACAGACAGAAGGAGTCATAAAGAGCAAATGGAAAAATGAATCCATTGAAAACACCATGTAACACCACCTATGTCTATGATATAAGAACCTGTCTGTAGAAAAGCTCAACACACCAAACTGTTTTTGCAACAAATGTCTATAAACTCTTGGTTATCCATGTTGCACATCAGCCTACAGCTTAAAAATGTAATGCTCTTTTTCACAGCAGTAGGTTATTTCTCCCCCACCCTCATTACTGAGCAAAGCCAGTCTATCAATAATGAAATAATTTTATCTAATTAGGAATGTAAGAAGCTGCCATACTCAGACTATTTGCTTATACTTTCCAGTATCATCTACTCTGATTGGCAGTGGCTCTCCAGTCTCAGACAGATATTTCCCATCTTTAATACAGTTTAGATGGCAGGACAACAGTAGGGTTGCGATATGTCCGGAATCTTCCGGACATATCTGGAATATCGCATTCGTCAGCAGTGTCTGGGCAGAAATCGGCCAAATGTGCAGGAAGATACGGACGTACGGCAGCCCATGTGAGATTTGCCTTTAAAAGAGCTCAAAAACTGCATTTTTGTGATCTTACCAAAAAATGCTCAACAACTTTTCTGTCCGGATTTTCACTGTTTGAAATATGGCAACCCTAGGCAACAGGAGATGTGGAAATGTGCTTCTGTTTAAGTTCACTTGAAAAAGTCTTTCCCTAATTGATTGCAAACATTGACTGCCTAATTTGTATGTTACAACGTTTTTGATATTATACTTACTGTAATGTTCATTAATTTTTTTATATTGTTATAATGTGAGCTGCTTTAAGCTCAACACTGTTGTTGGAAAAGTGGAATAAAAATATCAAATCAAATCAATCTTGACTGGAAACCTGGAGAAGTGTAGAAAAATCTCTCAGCCTGGATAGCTCAGCTGGTTAGAGCATGGTGCTCAAGACGCCAACGTTGCAGGTTCAATCCCTGTATGGGGCAGCTGAATATTCCTGCATTGCAGGTGGGTGGAATAGTTGATCCTCAGAGTCCCTTACAATTCTATGAATCTATCTTATGCTGGTTATGGGGCAGGGCCAGAGAGGCTTATCACTGGTAAATGTTCTTATATGTGTTGTTGTTTAGTCGTTTCCAACTCTTCGTGACCCCATGGACCAGAGCATGCCAGGCACTCCTGTCTTCCACTGCCTCCCACGGTTTGGTCAAACTCATGCTGATAGCTTCGTAGTTTTTTATTAATAATTTTATTGTGTTTTTCACATATGTACATATCCTCCGTGTCCCTATTTTCCAGGGATGTCCCTTATTTAGAGAAGCCATCCCAGTTTGATCCTGGAATGTCCTACTTTTCCTTGGGCTGCCCCTATTTTCACTGGAGAATTGTTGCAGGGTATGGAGTTATCCGACCTCCCGAGCCATCTGAAGACAATTCTATGTGGGGAAGTTTTTTATCTTTAATGTTTTATTATGTTTTTATATATATTGGAAGCTGCCCAGAGTAGCTGTGGCAACCCAGTAATATGTGTGGTGTGTAAAGAGAAAATTATCATTATGGAATGGGACATCCCTATTTTCTTCGGAGAAATGTTGGAGGGTATTATGTATGCAGTTCTTGTATGAAATGTTTGATTGTTTTAGAATTATAAAAATGGGTTAATAAGCTTCTTATGAATTTTCAAACAAGTTTAATCCCTATCATTTCCATTCTAGATTTTGAAAAGGTACTGTTACACAATTTAAGCAACAGCAAATGGGATTTAACAATTATGAGTCATCCTAGACATGACTTAAATCAAAGTTATAATTGAATCCAGAGGAAGAGCTTAAAAGAATGACATTACATAATAATGAGCTTAACTCTCCGGCTATAAACTCATAACTAGCTGAAGTCAGCTATAACTTATCCCATAGAAGATTGGTGCATTACAGAGAAGATACAGCCTCCCTTCAACCCACAGACTATACAGTGTGATTTGGGCTGTAAACCTATGCACACTTACCTGGAAGTAAGATCTAATAATATAAAGGAGCTTGCTTCTGGGTACAGTGGTACCACTGGATGCAAACAGGATCCATTCTGGAGCCCTGTTCACATCCTGAGCAGAACGCAACCCGCGCCTGCGCTTCTGCGCATGCCGCGATTCGCCACTTCTGCGCATGTGTGTGATGTCATTTTGAGCGTCTGCACATGCGCGAGCGGTGAAACTCGGAAGTAACCTGTTCCGTTACTTCCAGGTCACTGCGGAACGCAGCCCGAAAACACTCAATCTGAAGCTACTTTAACCCAAGGTATGACTGTAACAGGTATCTGATTATGTGTTTAGTCTACAGTATTGGAGGGAAATGGGTGGTGCTGTGGTCTAAACCACTGAGCCTCTTGGGCTTGCCGATCAGAACATCAGCGGTTCGAATCCCTGCGACGGGGTAAGCTCCCATTGCTCAGTCCCAGCTCCTGCCAACCTAGCAGTTTGAAAGCACGCCAAAAAGTGCAGGTAGATAACTAGGTACTGCTCCAGCGGGAAGGTAAATGGCATTTCCATGCGCTGCTCTGGTTTCGGTGTTCCGTTGTGTCAGAAGCGGCTTAGTCATGCTGGCCACATGACCCGGAAAAACTGTCTGCAGACAAACACTGGCTCCCTCTGCCTGTAAAGCAAGATGAGCGTCGCAACCCCAGAGTTGTCTGTGACTGGACTTAACTGTCAGGGATCCTTTACCTTTTTAAAAATACAGTATTAATGCTATTAATCAAGTATATTAATCCATCAGCATTCTGATGTAATTTGTAACTGCTGAAGATTGAGTTGCTCAGTATTTGATTGTTGAGAGGAGGGTCTGCTTTCTTTTTCTTGACCATTCTAATTCAACATATTTTGATAATCGTTTCTGTTTAAATTATTAAAATTCCACAGAAACCAAGCAGAACAAAATAGGGGGTTATTTCTGTACACAAACACAAGCAGGATAGCATAATATGGCCTGCTTTTCTGAATTTTTAGTTTGTGGCTTACTCTTTTCAGCTCTTTCAAAATTATTTTTAGAAAGCACAAATGACTTTTTTTCTTCATCCGCGCTGTGTTTTGGGTATGTGGGTATTGATTTACCAGTGTGTCATATTATGGGTGACTATTTTGGACAAGAAATAGTGCCACATATATGCATCTTGTAAAACCAAGCTATTTCGTATCTTGTTGGAAATTTGTAGGATAATTCCTGGCAATAATTGCTATAATGGGCTACCATGGAATATATTTCAAGAGTTACTTTATGAAGATGACTCAGAATCTAGAGCTTGAAGAAGAGCTGACTGAATAATCCAGGCTTCTAGCAAGTCCTGTCAGCAACAAAGGGTGGGAAACAAAAAATAGTTTGCCCTTGAAAGTCAATAAGAAAACCAGAGCCTGCCAGGAGATGTTTGAATGGATTGTAGAGCTAAGAACAGGACTTGTCTTTGACTGATTATTTCACTATTTGTTGATTTGAAATAATTTTAGAAATCAGCATTACTGTAACTCCTATGAACATGGTCATTTCCTCCATGTCAGCACTGCCTGTGCCAGAAACTGGAGAAATATCAGTGTGGCAGCTAGAGTTCTTCCTCCCAACATGGCTCAGGACTTATGATATTACTTAAGTGGTGCGGGGGAAAGCAATAGGAAGTCCTAAACCCCAAAGGTAACATGAGATGCTCCGGGCTGCTCTCTGGGGGCAGGGTGAGAGCCACGCAGCTTTGCCAGCAGCCTCCCCCCTTCCTTAGGCGGCTCAGGGGAGGCTTGGGAGCATCGGGCGGGCTGCTCAACTCCCCCCCCCCCGAGAGCAGCCCGGGAGCACAAGTCAATGGCGCTCAGCCCGCCCGCCACTCCAAAGCCTCCTTCGAGCCGTCGGAGGGAAGCAGGTGGCCACCGGCAGAGTGGTATGACTCCCCCTCTTCCCCCCTTCATTCCGACAACTCAGGGGAGGCTTTGGAGCGGCGGCCGGCCACACTCCTGGGCTGCTTCCTGGGTGGGGGGAAGCCACGCCGCTTTGCCGGCGATATATGGTCCCAAATATGAGACACACTTTAACTTTTCACGATCAGAATTGGGGGGGGGGAGTGTGGCTTATATTCAGGCCAATACAGTAAGTCAATACCTTCCTTAGGACAACCAAAATATCAAAAACAATGTGTAAGCTTTCTAGTTTCCAGAGGTCTTCATCAGCATGGATTGTAAATTGGGAGGGAGACTGCGGCTGGTAAGAGCCTTAAAGCAGGAAGTGGTAGGCATTCAAATGAGACTCTTTTACATACTGTGCAGATATCAGGTTGTACCGAAGCCTACTCCAAAGAAGTATAATCATGGCTGGTTCCACATCTCTGGCAGTAGAAAAACAGACTGTTTCTCAAGTCTATCTCCATACTTAGGTAGCCACCTATGAACACACAGGTTCATTGATAGCAGGTGGAAAACAGTAATAAAGAGAAACTAGGCAGTTTTTATACCAACAAAGGTAGAAATTAAATTTAGGTAGTGTGCTAAGTGGATTGAGACCAATTGCTTGAAATGTGTTTAATGAAAATCATAAAGCCATAGTTGTTCCCTAAATGATAGGAGCAATTATTTATCTCTTTATAAGTAACTTGACTGCCCATTCCATTATTGATCTGACTATTGATCCCAGCTAGCATTACTGGTTCACAAAGCAATCAGTGTTCTCAAGATGATTAAAGTATTAAAAGCTAAGGTCTGCTCTAATGTTGTATTTCATTATTTAGAAGACCAGGGAGCATACAGTAGATTCATCTCTTTTAAAATCAAAACTGTATAGCCATAAATAATTTCAATCTTCTCCCTTGAGACACTGAAGTCTGGCAATCATCAGGTAAGTTTGACATATGGTCAATTATTCTGCTAAGTGATTTCAACCTTAGATGAAGTTAAAGTTGCTCACTATTTACTGGTGAAAAAGTAAATCTACATGCTCCTGGTAAATTTGTATGTTTGTATGTGTGAGTATGTACACATACACAAATGTACATGGCTATGTAAAAGAAAATTCCCTATATTGTTGTTGATCACTTTGTTTACTAAAGTACAAATGTGGGGCCACTTAGATTGAAAGTTTAAATTTACAAATTGAGAAAAGCAGCAGTTTTCAGAGCTTCAGGCACAGAGATGGGAACAGGCAATAAATGATTCTTTCATTCTAAATTCAGCTCAGGGTCAAGGTAGAACAAAGGGCTGACCATCGGAATGCATTATTTTTTACACTGCAAATATGTCCCTTTCAAATAAGCATTATTTTGTACATACATAACTGAAATCCTTATTATGAATCTGACACAAATTTAACTGGGCAATCTTGAGCTAGTCATATAAAGTTATACTTCAAAAACTCCACTCACAGTAAAGTTCCCTGCTGTGGTGAACTAAATCCTTAATAGATATATTAAGGTTAAAGGATTTTAACAAATTTTAATCTTTTAACCATCTTTACTGTTTTATACTTACCTATTCAGGAGCTGTACTTAATTGCACAGTAAAAAAATAATATCCCATAATGTTCTGTAATTTCCATCATTATGTGGTGCCTCTCAATAGCTGGCACAAACATAATTTTCTATGACCACAAGGGGTTCTGAATCACCGTCTGAACAGAATATGATCTTCCAGGATTAAGAGACTCTCCAGGTGTCTACATAGATACGTCTATTTGTTTTTGGGATTCGCAACAACCTATGATGATTGATAAAACATTTACCATTTTCAAATTGTGGTGTCAGTGGTTTATTGGTTTTGGCAGGAAACTATGGAAACTGGTATGAAATAGCCAGGATGCTTTCATATTTCAATGTACTGGAGTTTTTCAAGGAACAGTTCCTCTTGTAAATTTGTCTGCACTTCATTTAATCAACCAAATTTCCAGCTGTTAACAGTTTGTTCTTCTCTATCCCCACCACAATATAAATAAATTTTGTAAAACAGTACAGAAGCAGATTCAGAACT